TTTTTTTTTTCTATATCTTGTGAAAAACTTCTCTTCCTCTTGTTCGATCATTTTTGCTAGTGGATTTCTCTGCTGCTTAGGTGCTTTGTCGTTCTTGTTCTTCTTCTTTTGGATAGATACTACCATCTTCTCCCTCTTCCCTCTTGATCTATGTGTTTTGTTCTTGGACCCTGGCCTTCCCTTAGTTTGAAAGGTTTAATCTTTTCTAATCTTTCCTCTTTTCTAATTACTATGATTTTTATTTAACCCCATCTATAGAGGAGAAAGTTGTTTTTATGAATTAAGAAATCTAGGAAGGCTCTAAAAAATGGAATCTTACCTTGGTGGGTATGCATTGGGTAAGATACCCTTTTACGAAAATGTGATTTGTGTCACACCTCGAGATTCATGCCGAATGATGAAAAATTGTTAATGTAGTATCGCTATATATATGAAATACATCATATAAAAATTAATTGCTTTCGATGAGTTTTTATGCATTGGGCTCTGTCACAGTGGTTGAGGTTTTAAAAATATGTCTAGTTCAACTTGCTTAATCATGAATGAGTTGTTTGACTGATTCGATCCAAACTCAAAATTATTTCAATATAAAATCAACATTAAAATGGTTAGGCCGATGATATTTTTGGTTTGAAAAGAAAGTATAGGGTATAAATTCAAAATGTCAAGTTAGGCGACATATATGTAAATACCTTAGAAATTGGTGATTAATTTGTATGTAAATGCCAAATATTTAACAATAATATATATATATATATATATATATATAAAGATAAAATAACTCGTCTCTCACTGAAGCAAGAGATTTTTGATGACATTTTAATTTACATATATATATATATATATATAAGTTTTTTATTTTTATTTTTAAAACAAAAAATACATAACCAAATTGTTAAGAAAAAAAAATAGAACATGTGCTGCTTATCGTAACACTTTGGTTGGCAAAGTTTGGGTCACGGGTTCGATCTCACCTATATGTGAAATAAAATTCTTAGACATATGAGTTTGGTCGGAAGGCTCGTCTAATCGCCTGCTGTCTGAACCGTCAATTGCCATGTCTCGTTAAGTAAAGCAACGTAAATGTAATTTGAAATTATTACGGGTAATAAATGGCCTTTCTTTTATTTTTATTGTTGGAGCTTTTCTGTTACTTAATAGCCTGCCCATTTGGGTTGGTGGATGCTATACTCTCTTAAATTATTATAAATATTTATTTATTTATTTTATTTTAGAAGGGTCCAAAAATAATGTTTACTGATAATTTATATGACGACGTCTTGACATAAATTATAGCAATTCAACGTGCACGGGTCCATCACGCCGTCCATTCTAACATGAACCATTAAACCCTCGTTAATTTTTTGGGGCATTTACATATTTCTTATGAATTTATATATCTAAAATTCAAATTCATTCCCACAATAATCAAAGCCAAAAAAAAAAGGGAGCATTTACATTCATACCACACAATTCTTATGTATTTACATATCTGACACCTAAACCTTAATATTTATATTCATAGCACTCAAAGCTTTAACATCTCATAAACATATTATAAATATAAATGTCAAATTTTGTATGTTAGATATGCAGATACATACAAATTATGTGGTACATTCATAATTTCTCAAAAAATAATAGTCAATTTCAAGTTCAACTTAGGATGTGTTTGGGGCAACTTGTGTGTTTCATGATAAGCTGCTTATCCTGAAAAGCAGCCCACATGGTTAGGCCCGCGGTCTGTGTTTAGTGTAAAAACCCACACGCGGTTTCGGATCAGCTGACGTAACGCGCGAACCAGACGGTACGGCGGTGTTTTGCCCCAAACGGGCCCTTAATATGATAGCATTGAATAAGATATGATTTGTGGTCGTTGATTATTTGAACGATCCATTGAGGATCGTTGTTTGACAAGGGCTGTGGAGGTTTAAAAACTAAAATAAATTATTTAGCAGGCCATAGTGAATAAAAAATTTCAAACCGAAGCAAGTATACAGTCTATAAAGAAGGCACTTGGAGCCTCTGAATTCTTTTTATTAGCATCTAATATTATACATTATCAAGCACCGCTGCATTGGGGAGGGCTATTTTGCAAATATAAAAGTAGTCAAACAAAATATTTATGCTTAATTTGTAATCCAAATTTTGTCCTTAAAAGAAAAAAACGAAAGCTTATACTTAAATAATAATAATATTAATAATAATTTTATGATTGATAGGACACCAATAAATTTTCATTATCCGGCATGAATTTCGAGGCATGACATAAATCTCGAGACGATATTTTAAGCATGAAACGTTCAAATCTTGATAAAAAATCATCTAGAGCTATGATTTCAGCAGACTTATAGTCGAACTGACTGGCTTGATGAGACAGACCTAATGATATGAAAATTAGCATAATCTGAATCAAATCAAGCCCAAATCAATTCATTGAACCACACTTAAATGATTTCCAGACACATTTGAAAAATCAAAGGGTTGTCGAATATGACAAGTTTATACTTGAATCGAGCGGCTCGACAAGAAGAATCCAATGAGCCGAGATCACTCAATTCTGACATCATTAAGGCACTTAAATGCCCAGCAAACGCTGTATGATCAAGGGAAGCTCTTTGAATCGTCCGATCAAAATGATTCATATTTCTGCATTAATTGCACCCAGAACACTATAAATAGAGTCACATTCCTCTCATGAGGGGGGAGGGGGGCTGAATTCTGGAGAGAGAATCTGAGACCTTGAGGATAAGTTGTAATTTTGCATCACTGCCGACCTCCGTCGTCGACCACCGCCGATCGCAGTCGACCATCGCCGACCGCCGAAGACCATCATTGATCACCGTCAACCTCCGCCAACCGTCATCAATCACCGCCAACCAAAAGTCAACGTTGTAATCTAAAAAATATAGTTATCATTTTCCATCTGTGGGATAAGAGATTTCTATAATCATCAATCATTAGTGAATTTTCGCAACTGGACCAGACCCCGTGAATTTTCTCTTTACGGGTTTTCCATGTAAAAACTTCTGGAGCAGTCACAGTTTTTTTCTTTTTCATCTGAGTGTGCAGAATTCTCGTACAACGCTAAGACGATGATTTGTTACTCTACCGACGCAAATTTTCTGGCACACATCATGATTTTGAATTTCTGGTTTAAATTATCATGATTTAATTAAAATTAGAATGATGTTTTTTATATATGAACATCGTATTGTAAACAATGAAAAAATATTTGGTTTCCTAAAATTACCACTAGTCAATGCTGTCAGTTATTTCAAAGGCTATCCTGTCGGTTGGGTTTGGGTCCTTAACTCTAGTGTTTTTTGTGAACTAAATTTGATATAAATCAAAATATAATATCTTATTTAGGCATAAAAATATATATTTCTGTTTTTAAAAATAAAAATGATGATATTTTTGATGTGATATGAAAATCTTGGGTGATATTTAGGGGTGTAAATGAACCGAACACGAACGAACAAAGCGCGTGTTCGTGTTCGGTTCGTTTGAAATTACGTGTGTTTGAAATAGGCTCGTGTCCGAAATTGTTCGTAAAGTTATTGTTCGTGTTTGATTTGATTTTTTTGAAATATGTTTGCAATATTCAAATTGTTCGAATTATTCAAATTGTTCGAATTATTTGAAATCTTACAAATTTATTTGTTTTGTTCGAATTTTGCAAAATCTTTCAAAAGCTTAAACATATATGAAATTAATGCTTAAACATGTAAGAGTCACCACACAAATGCAAAATAGCCGAGACACAGCTCACAATAAAATCATAATATCATATCTCATCAATAAAAAATTCAGATCTAGAGACAATATGTGAGATTTCACTCCCAAAAAATATGTTTCGCTCAAATAAATTAAATAAATCTAAATGAAATGTAATAAAATTTAAGCTAAGAGACTAACTTGAAGATAAATACAAAATTATAAAATTTAATATAAGCTAAGAGGGGAACCTGAATATCTGATTATAACTTATAGGATTTAATTTTTTAAAATATGATAAATTTTTAGTATAATTATTTTTAAAATATGATAATTTTTTTATATATAATTATTTTAAATTATTTTATATTTCGAATAATAACGATTTGAACACGATCAAACAATTGATTGT